GCCCACGACCAATGCGCAGCATTGTCAGGACGGCGAGAACGACTGAGTTTTATGACAAAGAGCCGACAGTAAATAGCGGTAGTAACGAACAGTTCAGGGCGGAAACCAAACTATATGTGCAGAAAAGCTTCAAAAAAAACCCCAAAGGGTTGGGGGGGGGGGGGGTACTCTTGATGTTTTGCATGCCTTAGCGGTTAAGACCATTGACCACGCATCGACGGAGCATTGTTCCCACAGGACCGATCACGTATGGTCAATCTACTTTGCCGAAGAAAGGTAGCTCAACATTGTTTTCCTAGCCTATGCTATCGGTATCACTTCCCTCCTCTTCAGCGCACTTCCTCAAGCCCAGTGTAGCTACCGTCTTCTCCTGGCTATTCCTTCCTTCTACTTTTCCCAGCCCAGTCATGTCATTTCTCTCTCCTTCTAGATAGAACAGCCGACATCCTGCAACTACATGAACCCAGTCTTCGCGCTCGGAGCCGCATTCACATTTGATCATGTCGTTAGTTATCGTCCTATCTACCTTACTAGATCTTCGTCTACGTTCTCGAAGGCCAATATCTCCCCACTGCTAAAATTGACCTTCAGTCCTTCCCCGCATCCCGTGGTCCATTTACTTACAGTACGTACTCCTTGAACGCTTTCCTTTCAACATCGATTTATACAAATACACCTTCTTTATCCTTGGCCGGGGTGCGGGGGGGTCAACTCGCCACCGGAGACACGAGGTATGTTGTGCCCCCGTATTTCAGCAAAACTATTCTAATCGTGCGGCGCACAGGTCCGTTGGACCGCGTTGGGCGTTTTGAAACCACATTTCGACGGCCGTCACCTTAACAAAACTCCAAATAAATTATATTTGTCCGGTGAGACACAGCCCCAAAAAGGCCGAGTAACGCCAATCGCATACACCCACATCCTACGGAGTACCATTAAATAGCACATGATAATCTTCGAAAACACCATGGTTAGAGGCCCATGAGCCGAGCTCGCCTGAGGCACTTCTACACTTCTACACCCCTTGCAATCCTGCTGTCCATGTGATGCGTAAACCTATTCGGTGTAACAGAACATTTGTACCGCAGTATCAAAGATCCAGCCAAGCAAAATCAATCTTCCAGTTCCAGTGCTCTTCGGACCGCCCACTGAATGGAACAAACGAACACCCTTGGTTGGAACACCTTCGTGCAGCAACTGAAACTCGTGGAGAGGGCCCTCTGCTAGCATCTGCACTCTCTCTCCTGCTCCTGTATGATAGCTATGTACTTCCATCAAACTACTTCTGTAGTCACTTACACGTGGAACCTGGAAGGTAATCCCTGCTATCCACTGGTACCTCATTACTCCGCACACACCAAAGCAAGACCGGGAATCGTAAATTCATGTGACGGACATGCAGATAATGTCTAAATAGCCTTTCGTCTTCCTCCTCGCCTTCCAGTTCAATAGTCACCGCTGTATCTAATTCCCTTGCCTCTTAGCTCCCAATTGCTGCGGGGTATTTACGTATGCCCCGGGTCAGAAGTACGTGAGGGGGATAAATCCCTGAGAGAGAGAGAGAGCTGCTGTGCAGGAAGAACCTGCGAGAGGATTTGTGTGGTGCTCGGCTGCAAAAAATCATCATTTAATCGGATAAGGCCCTCCCTGGAATTCCGCTGCATGTGCATACATACATGCAATACACCGAGCGGACGGTGCGTGCTGTATGCACTCATGGAAGGGACGTGGCATGCATCTGTCCTCTTCTGAACAACGACATGCTGCTACCGGCACATGTGTGCGGAATGGCGAAATGCGAACTCCTCCCGACCCGGACAGCAGATACGGTTCTATCTAGTACTTCACAGCAGTACGTAGCACTCCACAGACAGAAAACTGGCGTGGGTGCCGGTGCAGCGTGACGACTTCCTCCCTACTTCTCGGTCCCCAATCGTCAAGCCGGACTGACTGCTGTTGCACCATGCGGCAGCTCGTGCGAGCTCTGTTACGGGCGGAAGGACATGATTGCCGCCCCCCACGCGGGTGCTCTCGTTTGTCACTCCTGCTGGGAGAAAAGAGAAAACGTTTTCGTCTGGCTGCTCGGAGGTGAAAATCATAAAATCTCGTCGCGGCCTCTCAAACTCGATCACACCTGTATCTCCGGAGCATCGTGTACACGGCGTTCTGCAGGCACAGGACGACGAGCAGCCCCGCCTTCACCGTCTTGGACACCCCTGCATTGCTGCTGGAGGCCGAAGGGGACGATGCCTTGCTTGCGGTGCCACCACCCATGGCAGTTCCGGTGCCGCCGACGTTTGTGGTGCTGCTGTTAGAAGCCTTGGCAACTGCCCAGGCGGAGAGAAAGGGGAAAGTGGTTGTTAATTGTTGCTGCTGCTGCTGCCGCGCCGATCGATCGATGCTGCTGCGTGCACGAAGTTCCACCTCTGGCGTGTGCAACGGGAGGCCGAGTCTTGCTTGCGTGCCCCCGTTTGGCCACCATCCACCCTCGTACCCCCTCCCCCTTTGTCACGCCCTCTTTCTGTCTCCAGTGCATCTACTATTTACTATACCCCCCTGCTCGGGTGCCGTTGCTACACAGTATTCCGCACCTACCTCCTTCGTTTTCAATCACGCGCTGTTCCTATTCCCTACTAAGTAAAGCATACGTGTGGCTCTTACCCCCGTTCATCGTTTGGCGGCCGCTGCTCGCCCCGCGGATCTCCGACGGGCAATCTGTGGTGGGCGCTTTCAGAGGGTGAAGAGAATGTTGAATGTGAGGACCTCGACCTGCGATGCCAGATGACGTTTGGAGCCTGGAACACTTTCAAGGAAAAATAAATATTTTGTTCTTGCTGTCGTCTGCTCGTACCTCGTACCCCTCTCTTCTCGCATCCGCCCGTAATCCGCCCGCCGGTGCTCTTTTTTGGCTCTTTTTGGGCTCTCTTTCAGCAGCGGGCAAAAAAATCAGCCCAAAAAATGGAAATAGGCATTTCATCAAAAATAAAAGTTGCCAGAGGACGCCGCTGCCACGCTGCCAGACACAGCCAGACGAGACCCCGAGTCAGTGACGATACAGCAGCAGCAGAGGGAGACAATGAGGTGCCTGCACGTTCTGGGTGTGGCTTGTGCGCTGGACAGCGCCTCTGGCTTCGGGCTTAGCGGGCGTCTCGACGTCAGCCACCATGCTCGTTCTTCGAGCCGAACGTGAGCAGTGAGGGCGATTTAAAAAAATTGTGACGGTGCCGGTCTGTGTCATGTTTCTCTTTGAGAACACGGGTGTCATGTGTCATCGTCAGGACCAGTGTACCACCCGAAAAAAGGAACTCGGGGGCGTGTTGAGTGAAGGCATGGTGACGAGGTCGGCCACGACAAAAACACGTACAGAAGTAGAAGGTTGGTGAACCAACCTCCCCTCGCATAAGCTGTGCTCCGGCCTATCTTAGTGTTGTACTGCTGCTGTACGTGGCATTCAGTAATGTACTTCTTATGGACGCTGTGCTGGGTAGGTCCTCCTCTGGATACAGTACTCATCGCGAAGGTTGGGCCTCTCACGTATGGCACAGTAGCAGCTCTCGTGGCTAGAAGGTTGCACAAGCAATGCAACGTCACTACCTGATATGTGAACAAGCACGAGAGTTGG